ACTAAGTCGATCAACATGATCATGAACAGCGCTTGGAAGTTCTTTTCAACAACATCGCATGAATATGAAACACTAAATCCTATAATACTAAATTCTAATCTTAGATTCCGATCCAGCCGATGTGTTTGGACCGGCGGCCGTACGACAAGACGCCTGACGATGGCACTCTGTACTTCGAAACCGTCCCCGCAATGGTGTTTCGCGCGACGCAGAACAAGAACAACCTCGGTTCTTCTGTCGACAAACATTCGACAAACTATCAGAAAGAAGGTAAGGAGGAGGTAGAAGGAGAACCCGTGAAGAACAACGTCGAACCCGGCAAAAATAGCAAGGCAAAGCAGAACAAACAGGCACAACACCAGACGAAACTCTTGACGGAAGAGCAAGCGAAGGCGAGAGTCAAGTCCTTGAAGCACGGCTTTGTAAACTCGTTGGTGGCGTGTGTGCGGACCGGGTCCGCGGTGAAAAAGGATCTTGGTGATATCAGCAAAATAAATCATCCTGCGACGACGACAATAAGTTCAGGGAACATCAAGGGGAAGGACAAGGAGAAGAACAAGAAGACAATCAACACGAAGACAAATCGTGCTCAGAACAACTTTACCTTTGGCTCCGTTCCGCATGAGGAGCTGTTGTTTCTCGAGAACCCCTTAATCAGAACTGCTCTGCGCAACCTGCAGCTCCGGCGCAAAGCGCACAATCCCGAAAAAGCGATCGAAAAAGCCGGGGAAAAGGTCCGGAAAGTTTTCGGCACTGAAAAAGGCAGTGATGGCGCGCGGTGGACGGAGCTTTGGAAGAAAATTCAAGCTGATGACGCCGACGAAGAATTACTGTTCCCTGACGAGTTGGCCGAGGAAGTTTTTTCCTCGGAAGAATTCAAGAAACTGCGCGCACTGGAAGTCGAGCGGAGGTTTTTCAAGATCGCAGAGTACCTGGTGCACCATTTGCAATTTTTCAACGACGAGGATCATAAGAACGGGCTGAGCAAGATCTGCAGGTCGTCCTCTCCAGGGAAAGAAAAAGAACCAACGGTTGTACCGGTCGGGGAAAATGATAGTACTGTTCTGCCGGTGGAGGTCCTCCTTACAGAACAAGAAAAAGCTGTTCTGTGTCAGTTCTCCAGCGCACTTTTAACCTTGTTGCTGATCGATGTGGCGATCTACCTAGCAGCGCACGAGGACAACTCCGTCGCTGTGGAACTTGCAAAGCGAAACTTGTCCTCTGGTGGCAAGAAGAAAGACAGAACGACTTCTACACGCGGCAAGAAAACCACGACCACGACCAAAGATGGCACTACAGATGAAAACCAAAAGAGTAAAGACAGCGAAGAAGTCGACGAAGCTGCAGTGAAAGAACACGAGCTGCGGAAAAAGAAAGCCAGCCAGCTGCGGAACCTGCTGGAGCATCGGGCTGCGCAGTTGAAAGCACTGCACCACGCTGCGCTGGCCGGGCTGGAAATTGCGACGACGAAAAATAACTACACTGACGTTTTGCGCGTTTTGAGTCTACTCGATCAGCACGTGAAACGGATTATCGATAACTTGCGACCGCTGGCAAAACTGAATCAGGACGACTGGAAAGGGCATGCGGAAATCCAAATGTTGACGGAAAGTGCATGCGGGAACTACGATGTTGAGGAAGATAGTTTTGAAGACTCGTGGTCCTCGTCCTCCGGAAGTGACACCGAGATGAAAGTAGAACCAAGTCAGACAACATTGGTGATGCAAATCCTGGAGCGCTGCATGTTTGACGATGTCCTCGACAAAAACGTTGTAAAAATGATGGCAAACACGACCGATGAAAACCATACCAAGCAGCATCTCCTCCCGGGGGGCGCCGGACTGGATAACGATAGAAATAAAGAGCTGCACTGGTACTGAGGGTAGACTAGACGAATATCGAAGACTGTGTCTGTGCTCGTCAACATGCTTTCTGTCGGCAGCCATTCTTGTTTATTGTCATGCATCAATAGTAGACTGGTTGTGGTTGAGGAGGATAGGAGCTATACTGAAACTGATGATATCCTGCAGCACCTCCTACAGGGTTCTGAAAACAACATCATGATCTCGATCTGGTGCTCTGTATAGAATAAACTTGTTGACCAAATGTTCTTCAGGGCGACCAAGGACATTCGGTTGTTTTTCTGGCAGCAACGACCCCCCCATCTTTGCACGCGTCGCGACGAGCATGAGGACATCGCCGTGTTCGACGTGGCGACGCCGGTACTGCAACTGCAGCAGATCTTTCGGTTTCGCCTCGTGTACGTTCTGTCCCAGCGCTTGATCGTGCAGAGTTTGCGAAGCTGCACCAAGGTTATGTTGGAAGGGGACGTGGTGAAAGAGGAGGAGGACCATGATGCAGCTACTTCTTCTGGGTTGAAAAACGACAAGGAGAAGCAGGACAACACGACCGCAGATTCGACGAAGCAGGGGGAGAAGTCCACTTCATCTCCACTTTTGCTGCAGAACAATCCGTTGGCCAACTATTGTCAGCGACTGGCACAAGAAGCAGGTTTGCTGACTTTTTCATCTGGGGTTGCTGCTTTTTTTTACCTAGTATATAGCATTTCGATTTCGCACCAGTGCAGCTGATAGGGTGTGATCTTGAGATGAAATCAATATCGTAGAGTCTCTTGCTGAATGTCACGACACTGTGACAGTTTTGTTGATGCCCGGTGAAGAAGCGCGAAGTCAACAAGGGGACAAGTATTTTGTGCACTCACTGATCATATCGCTGTCGAAATATTACCTACCTTCTATCTTCCTTGCCCCAGATCAACATTTGGAGAAGCAAAACACCGCCCCCGAGATGAAGATGAAGAAGAAGCAGTACCGCATCATACTCTCGTGCGACGAGCTGCGCGAGACCATCGATGCTGGCACGGATTGCAAAAACTTCCACATGCAGGCCATGGAGTTCGCAAAGAAAACCAGTGAGCGATACCACCGAGAAGACCGGGCGACATTATCCTTCACGGTGAAGGTATCCAAGAAAAAAACTGTGTTAGTGTAAGTCTTTTGGGAAAACTGCATCACAAGTTTGTCTGTCATGACGGGAAAAACTTGTTATGCGCAGATAGGAAGGGAAAACACCTAGGAAGGGAGCCGATCATGCATGTCGAGCATGACAAGTGTAATTGTTTTGCATTTTCTGCATCACAGAGTTACACTGACACAGCTTTTTTCTTGCATAGAAGCGCGACGGGGAAGTGCGGGTGGAAGAGGCAAACGTGTTGAAAAAACGCCTGCTCGCACAGAACCCCGACATTGACATCAACGCCAACTGTATTTGGAACGCCTTGCAGGTGCAGGCCGTCAAGGTCTCTACTTCTACCGCAGGTGGTCCTGACGCAGAAGGTCAGCGTGTCAAGGAGAGCAGTAAATTTTTCTCCGGTATTAAGAACATGCAGAATGCAGTCCCGACCCCGTTAGCACGGAGCCACCAGATCGCTTTGCTCGTGGTGGCTGTGAACTGGCCGTACGACACGACTGTAACGTCAGACAACTTGGACCTGGAAACGTATCCCTTGGCAGCTTGTTTGAAGCGAGGTACTTCTTACAAGAACCGATGTGTAGCTAGAGCTGTCAGATCGATGCGACAAGATCTTCTGTGTCGCCTCTATAGTAGTTCTTTTCGATATATTCGTTTGTTGCATGTAGTGGATGATTGATTTACTGAATTTTACATTTTACTGGTGTCCTACTTCGAATTTTTAGATTCGTTCGATATTAGAAGCCAATTCCTGAGTAAAAGACATCACTGTAGTTTTTCGATGAAATTAAAGGTGATCTAATTCTGGCGGTGAACGATCAGCCTATCAGCAGCGTGATCCAGAACAACCCGGTCGCTGGACTTTTCAGCCTTCCCGGTACGACTTCGTCTCCCGGTTTTAGCAGTGTTGCGCGTTTTGTAGCTTCCTGCCGACAGATCAACCAGTACTGGCTCAGCGGCATCGACGACAACCCGTGGAACGCAAATATGACCAACAAACCTGCATCGGACTCCACTTCATCGTCCGGCACTACTTCTGTTGGCGCTCGTACTGCTTCTGATCCACTTCTTCCCGGCTGCTTCGAAGTGAAGCCATCGTCGTTGCTAGGAGGTTCTTGTGGCCGCCAGTCTGACATGGAACCGCTATACGAAGACCTGTACAGCCTTTCGTCCGCTGCGAACCAGTATCAAATGTAAAAATGTCTGGGTGTGGAAGAATGCCAGACTTGTCATGCAGGTTTTCCATGACTCATGAAGTCTGGTATGTAGGACATAGCATGACAGATTCTGTGAGAGTTCTATCGTGCCTATCCTGCATGAGAAACTGCCGCTCGATTAGGTCAAAAGTGAGCAGCTTTTGGTAATCGTGCAACACAGATTTTTACATGATTCAGATTTAGCATGACAAGCTGCTTTGTTCCAGACCCAGACATTTTTGTATTCCATAACCTAATCAGCACGGTGCGACCCGAAAAGCTTGTGCTCCTGGACGAAACGGAGGTGATTATCAAATGCAAAAATGTCTGGGTCTGGAAACTTGTGATGCTGAGTGGCGTATCATGAGGAGGCCACAAGTGCTGGCTCAGCATGACAAGTTTCTGAGCTTCTAGGTGTTGCCTATTCTGCATGACAAACTGCGTTTCTGCATGACAGAAAAGTGGGGCTCTTGGGTAATGTGCATGACAGTTAAAGAGTCACGCGAAACAAGCATGACAAACTTGCACTCTTCCAGACCCAGACATTTTCGCATTTGACAGTGAAGAAGACGTACCAAAATTTACTGCGGGACGTCATCCGCACCCAGAACGTGAACACAGACGAGCTGGTGATGCTGGAAACCATGTGGGAGGAAAATTCTGGCAGCTCGGATGTTGAGCTGTGGAAGCAGAGACACGGCATCTTCAAGACTTCGGCGTACTACACTGGAGCTCCTGACAGTCACGTGTTGTACTACGATCCAACTGCGAAGATCTTTCTGCACGTGCCGGCCCAGACGCACTTCCAGCAGGCGGTCCTGCAAGCGTTGTTCCAGCCACCGAAAGTTTCTGTCGAGTTTGTGGAGGTAAAAAACCACGAGGAGACCACCATCAAGGAGACCATGAATAAACCAGCTCAGGTTTTTCAAAATCCGCGACCCACAGCTGCACGAGGACCAAATGGTAGTCCCGGGAAGAAGATGGACTCCGACCCGCAGTTGTATTTTTGCCCCCTACCGCTTTCCCCGCTCCCCCCAGCGCGGGACCTTCCCACCGTGGAGGAAGTTTGTACTGTGATCGCAACCCGGACGCGGGTTTCCGTGGAGAAAATCCGGGTGTCGGGATCGCTGTACGAAAAAGCGGAAGTGCGAGCTCTCGGGAATGTGAAACTGCAGGATTTCGCTGGTGGTTCTCGTGGGGGAAAAGTTACAACGGGCAATAAACAAGGTCGTGGTGGACTAGTGCCGGCTTCTGTTGTCCACCCGCTGCCGATGTTGCTTTGGGAGGAAAGTTGGGCGGAAAAAAAGCTGATCTTGAAGAACGTACTTGCAATGAACAGTGTGCTCCCTGCGTTGCCCGCCTGGGCGGGGCTGCATCACCGCGACGGAGAGGAGGTATAAGCTAAGACGTAGTTTTTTTGTACAGGCATTCGACACTGTATTCGTCTTTGACGTTTGATTTGATTTGCAATGTTGTTGATAAAAAAATCTTTATAGTATGTGTGAAAAATTATACGTAAGACTTGAATCACCACGGTATGGTGGATTTTATGAATTTGTATATTCATGAAACACGAGGGTATGATGGATTTTACAGTCGGTTTTTGAAAGCCAAATTGGCGACTGATACAAGTGCACGCAAAGTGGTAATTTTGAAGCAAAATAAATACGCTTGAAGTCGTAGTGTGCCGTAGTGTTTGGCATAGAGATGGTGAAGGAAATGCGTCTTTCTACGATTATTCACAGTCAAACTTGAATGATTTTGTCGTAAAAAATGAAACAGACATGTTAGCACGTAATGTTACAAGGAACAACCCGACGCAATGAAATTATACAGGTCGTTGCCCAGTACGGCAAGCTTCTTCGCGCGATGACGGGTATCGCAGTCCGCGTCGATTCCAACAGACGCGCAGCCATCTTGCCAAATGGGCAGGAGATTTCCCTACCGTGCCTGAAGGCCGCGTCGGTACCAACTGCTGCGAAGAACACGACGAAAACCAGCAATTGCGACGGTCTTGACGTATTAAAGTCTTCCATGGCACAACGACAGCCGTTAGCAACGAACCACCTTTCCAGCGGCGTCGTGTGTACCGCTATGCGGGGCGAGATTTCCGCTTTGCACATTATCGAAGAGAAGATGAACATCAACAGTATGGCAGCTAGTGGAACCTCGGCTGGAATAAATAAAACGAGAACAACTGGAAGTAGTGCAACACCTTCTAAACTACACACGCTCGCGGAGAACTTGGCGAGATTTGTTACTGTGGACGATAACATTGAACCAGGCTCTTCCTTATGCATTGCAAAAATGTCTGGGTCTGGAAGAATGCAAGATTTGTGATGCAGGTTTTCCATGTCCCATTAGGTCTGGAATGCGAGACCCAGCATGACAGAATCTTTGAGGTCTCTATCATGCCTTTCCTGCATGAGAAACTCCCTCTCAAATTGGTCAAAAGGGGACAGCTTTTGGCACTCATGCAACACAGATTTCTCCAAAATTCGGATTTAGCATGACAAGTTGCAATCTTCCAGACCCAGACATTTTTGCGATCCATATTCCTCGTCATCTCCCGCTTCTTTCGACCCGCAAAAATACGCTCGGGACCATCCTGAGTTTAAGAAGCACCTCGAACATAACTTTTTATCGGACATCAAAACTGGTACCTCGCACGGCACGCCCTTGGAGCGCACGGTCTGCGAGCGACAGTGCCGACTGCCGTATGGGCGGAAAAAGTACCATCTGCACCTCCCAAACTGCGGGGAGTTTTCGCTCCGCCCGGACAATCTGGTTTTTTCCGGGGAAAAACAGAAACCGTGGAAACTTTTGGAATTTTATTCCAACCGTTGTGCCGGAGGAAAAACAAGTTTACTCTACAGCTTCACCGGCCGGCTGCAGCTCGACCAATGCACAAAGAAACTGATGATCGCGACAGAAAATGTCGAAAACGACACCAGGGAAGATCTTCAGAATAAAGTCGGGGATAAAGCTCTGGATTATTTCCAGAATCTGGAACTGCGTCGGGGGATCTGTGCAGAGACCGGGGCGGAAAAGCTGTACTTGAGTTTCGAGCGGGAGGTCGTGCCGCGGGACGACGAGGACGAGGACCCACGCGAGGACACTGAGATGGTTGTGGACCAACTCGAGGCAGGTCGAGAAAGTACAGGATCCATGATAAACCCATTAGAAGATCCGGAGGAAAAGTACAGGCAGAAGCTGTTTTTGCGCAAGCGCGTGCGGTGGCACACGATTTCCGGCAGTAAGGGGGTCGACGCGCTCTGGAAAAAGGCGATCGGGGAAGTAGAGAAGCGGAAGGTATATACGAATATTTTTATACGAAAATCTATCTTGTAGAATTGTACCATCCACCTAGAACATGAAATGTAAGTATCAATAGAAACCTGCTTCTATTTGCGAGAACGACAACCCGCGATCCGAAGTACATGATAGATGTTGAACTGTCCACTACGTATGAAAAATATACCAGGCTCGTCCCTCTTACCGCGTTTTGAACCCAGAACATGCATGTGGCGATGGTGGAGGAGCCGCGTCGAGGCGGGTCGTCAACAGGCGACGTCGTGCAGGAGCAGCTTCTTGTCCTCAGCTTGAAAATCATCCTGAAGAGGGCACGACCATGAAGATGACAACAGAAGCCTGCGCCACGAGCCAATGTCCGCCAGGTATAGTCTGTAATGCAATTCGAGTAAGTGCATTCCATCCCAGTAGCAATCGGGTTTATAGCAATCAGTGAGATTCGATCGATCGATATTTGCACGCACAACGAACGCAAACGCGTATGTCCACATGAACACACTGCTGTTGGTTAGTTGGTGTTTCCGCTCGGGGAACCTCGCGAACGTTGCGGCGCGGCAACATCGTGAAGTTTGTTCCTGCCTCCTCGTGCTTGTACGCTAACAGCACGGGGAAGGCACCGAGGGCATCGGGGGGACGAGCCGTCCCCCGCGGATGTGTGTGTCTGGCTGCCGGCAAGCGTTGCTCGCTTAATGGCAAACCCGGTCTCACGAAAGTGAGCCGGGGGCCACCCGCGGCGCGACAGCGGGCCGACACAGGAAATACAAACGCATGTCGTAAACGGCAACACAGGAACCCGGGTGGCACCGGGGGACAGCCAGATTCGGCCCCAGGGTTAGATGGCGGCATAACGCCATACTTGCGCCCTCTGGGTGAGCCGCTTCTGATGGTGAACTCCAGGGAAAACACGGAACTCCGAATGGCCGACGAGACGCGCCGGTGTGCTGAGCACGGGCACCGGGCGTCTGGGCAAGCTTAGTGGGAAATGCCTTGTTGGCATGCACGCAAGTGCACGATCAAAAATCAGATCAAATCGAAAGAGCGCGTGCGAGATCGAAACTCGATAGCGAACGTAAGACAACTATAGAGGCAGTTGAGGCAATGCCGAGCATTACAGGGGCAAGCATGACAGGGAGCATGACAGAAGAAACCGAGTACGTATACGAATAGAAGATAGAGCATGCTAAGAGCGAAAACGTAGATCACAGATCCAACCACAAGCAGCTGTTTGAATCGCAACCGAACGCAGGCCGAAGGTACTGACTGTTAAGTCGATACCAAAAAACTTTTACTCTAGCGAGTATTAACACCCACTTTAAAACGCGAATAAAAACTCACTTAGTTCTAGAACTAGAAGCCAAAGAGTTTTTGTAAAGTCCAAGAGCAGACAACATCGAACAAGCAAAGCTAACCCTAAATTCTAAAACCTTTCCTCAACACCGCACACACACCACCACGCTGTAACCATGTTGAAATTCCCGGAAGGACCGGTCGGCAACGCGGCGCCGCAGACCGCGGAGGAACTGTTCCAGTTCTGCCTGGCGGACCTGTCTGCTGCGCGCGGAGTGAAGAAAGTGCTGGAGAAGTGGTACGCGGCGTACAACGCGGCCACCGCGGAGAAGAAACAGCAGGTGAACCGTGCAGCCATCCTCTTCGGAAACGGCGACATGACGACAGCCGCACTGGAACTGCTGCAGGAGCAGCGGGTGAACGAGCTCGGAGAGGGAAAAACGAACTTCGCCTTCCCGCGCGAAAACGACGTCCACTACTACAAGAGCTCGGCGGTGAACGACCCGGCGGTGACGGGAACCATCACGGGACGGGTGGTAAACGGAAAACTGCACCACAAGTTCTGCATCCTGCTGTGTCTCGCCAAAACCACGCTGCTGGACGAGAACACGGATGACACCTGGGTGCTGCTGCGTGACCTCAACGTCAAGCAGCTGAAAAAACTGCTGGTGGAGGCCGACGTCAAGAAAGAGGCGGATGTAAAAAGCATGAAAAAGGACAAGCTGTTGAAGACCTGGATCGACACTGCTGTCGACCAGGCACAGCAGGTTCCCGACACCAGCTTCCACGGGCCGATCTGCTTCACGGCGAACCACGAAGGGGATGTCCGCATCCGCGCGTGCTTCACCTACAAAAACGACGGCGACCTCGGAGACGACAAAAACGACTCCGAGGAAGACGACTGCATGGAGGAGTACTTCGCGCGGTTGGAGAAGGAAAAACTGCGAGCGAAGCGCGCGAAGGAACTGCAGCAGTTGAAGGAAAAAGAACTCCAGGAGCGCGAGAAAAACCTTAACCCCAAGGAGTCGAACCTCCAGTCCATGGAGTCGCTGCTCGAGGAAGGGAAAAAGAAGGCGGAAGAGCAGATGTCGGAGCTGGAGGCGAAGCGGCAGATGCTTGAGCAAATGGCTGATGCGGACGCCGTGGAAGCGCAGCGGAAGGAGGAAGAACGCATCAGAAAGGAAAAAGAGGAACAAGACCGCGTTGAAAAAGAAAAGGAGCGGGAACGTTTCAACATGGAGCAGCGCGTGCTGAAAGAGCGGGTCTATCAGGGCATGGTCAAGATCAAGTCGCTAGCCGACCCTGAGGAAAAAGGCCTCAATGACATGTACCCGGATGAGCATGGTCTCTCCAAACTGCTCCTGCCGCGAGACACCGCGCTGGATACGCTGCCGACGCAGGAGGAACACGAGGCCATGGTGAAAAAGGAAATGGAGGACGCGCTGGAGAAGCAAGAAAAAACTGGAGGAGGAAGAAAAACTGCAGCGCCAGGAACAGCAGGCTGAGCGCGAACGCAAAAAAGAGGAAATACGCCTCAAAGTGGAACAGCTCCGAGAGGAACAACGCAAGCTGGAGGAGGAACAACAGCTGGAACGGGAAAAAGAAGAAGAACAACAGGAGGTGAGCGCAGGCGCCGAGGCGGAAAAGCAGGGCCTCGGAGGCAGCTTTACGCAGCCGGACGAACAGAACAATGAGAACACGGCCTCCCCGTTTGCCATCGTGCCAAACGGACAGCAGCTGTTCGTGGGCACGACGACCACCGCAGGGGTGCAGAGCAGCACCACAACCAAGAGCACGATTGTTATCGCCCCCAGCGCCGCAGCAGCGGGCAGTGGAATCGCCTTTGCTGGGGGATCGGCGGGCGTGCCGCCGCCGCCGCCGGAACAATCTGACATGACAAAGGTGAAACAGGCAACGATATCTTCTGCGAGCGAAAATGAAGCCGGGATGGGCGCACTCATCCAAGCCCTCCAGGGGGATGCCAACGGAAACGTCAATGTCCCGAACTTCGTCCAGCAGTTGACACGAGCCATGCGGCAGCAGAAAGAGGAAATTTTAGCCGCGGTGAAAACCGAGCGTGAAGAAGTTTCCGCCAACAAAACCACGAACGCGGTCAACTACCGCTCCGCCAAGGAGCCAGAGGGACCATGGCGAACGGGCGAAGAGGAACACTTCAATGCGCGGGGAGACAACCCCCACTCGCCATGGATGTACTTCGAGCTCTATGGATGGGTGAACTTGCAGGGCGAAATGCCGGATGAGGACGGCGTTTCGCCGGCGCAGCGAATCCGCGAAGGAGCAGCGACGGAGTGGAAGAAAAAGCCGTGGGTGAACACGCCGGGCGCCTGGGCCGAGCCGGTCTGGGGAAGCCGCGCCAGCGACTTGAAATCGAAAATGTACAGCCAGAGCATCTCGAACGCGTTGCAAGGCTGCAAAGACGACACCGATCGGGCTGCCAGGCTGCGAAAAATTTCGAAATACATCCACGTACAGCCAAATTGCTTTATGCACAAATTCCTCCAGACCTGTACGGAACAACAAAGCGAGGTCGCCCGCATTGCTATGGCGCTGGCGGGGGATAATGGGGTGTGGAGCGACATCCAACTCGCATCAACACCGCTGCCGAAACCGCAGAACACGCTGATCAACCCGAACGGCAACGTAGTCAGCTGCTTCAGCATCGCAGGCTGGAAATCTGGCAAAGGGCTGACGACCCACGAGACCACGGGGTGCCTGCAGGTGATGCTGGAAGTGCAAAAACGCACACTCGAGAGAGTGTCGCCGGACTTCGACAGGGATTTGCTAACAGCAATCAACGTGGCCTCGCTGTTACAGCTCAAACGGCAGGTGGACCAGAGCCCGCTGGACACGCACATGGAAGTGTGCATCACGGAAACCTTTGTGCGCGACCCGGCGCGTTTTCCGGTCACGGCGGAGATCGCGAAGCTCGCGATTGCTGTCCTCGACGGTACGGGACCAGCGGAAGCCGCGGAAATGTTAGAACCAGTGAAACACCGGTTGAATGCGATCACGATGCCGCACATGGTGTTTCACGTAGTGCCAGTTGCGGTACACCTGTGTAAGGTGAACCCGGAGATTCTGATCTCGCAGTGGTACTCGCCGGCCGTGCAGACCATGAAACAAAAACCGGACACCACAAAAGTGGCTACGCAGTTGATCCACGGTCTGCACATGATCGTCGAGATGATTGAACAGCGGAAACAGGCTTTTGGACGCAAGTCCAACAAGCGCTACAACAACAACGACACTTCCGCGGGCGGCCACACATTGCTGCCGCTGTATCCGCATGCTGGCGGTGGGCGAAACCAGAACAATACGCACACGCAGGTGGGGGGAACGAACTACCCGGATAACCTGAACTACCTGCAGCAGCAGCAGCAGCAGATGGGACTGCACCCCCTGGGACAGCAGCAGGACGAGGAAGTGAACCACGAATCGAAGCGCGGAAAAACGGACAAGCGGCCTAAGCCCAACAAGGGGCAGATCACGCTCAACCCGCAGCCGCAGAAGGGGTACCAGGACCAGAAGGAAGCGCTGGCTGGAAAGGAACCCATCACGAAAGCGGCTGTGGAAGCCCTGTGT